TTCGTAACAAGAAGAACAGTGAAGGGATCAGCAACATTGTGTGTGTGTGTGTGTGGAAACAGCAGGTTGTTTGTGTGGTGGGCGTTAGTGTCACGGGACTTTCTGCAGCTGTGTGTGTGGAAACAGCAGGTTGTTTGTGTGGTGGGCGTTAGTGTCACGGGACTTTCTGCAGCTGTGCTTACTCTAGTCCATTCCCCCTACCCCACCCCCCTCCGTCATCCTCCACCTCCATGATAATACCCAAGGTCACTTCAATACCCCCCTCCCCCTCCCCACCATACACACGTACTCATTTACGCAGACGGGGCATATTGCAGGAAGAGTAGGAGAAAGGGGGCACAATTTTTATGTTGGGTTGGAGAGATAGGATGAGAAATAGCTGTGGAGGGAAGAGAGTTGGAGCTTGGTGTAGAGGGAGCAGTCACGGTGGGGGTCAGGGATGAGAGCGCTATGATACAATTGTAAGAGTCTCAACACAAATCTAGATAATGACGGGGGGGGGAGGGTTATCAGTCTGGCTGACGAAAGCTGATGAAGGCGAGGCAGGAGCTGAGTGAAGGTTGTGGCAGGTACTCTACCAGTATCGTTGGGGGAAATGTTATTGTGTATAACATCAAGAAGCAGATATGTCTGCTGTAAAAGAGGCTACAAAGAATTACATTTTCATATCAGATTTTAAAAACCTGTTTAGTAATATATTCAGAGTCCAGTTAGATAATTTTTTTGGAGCTGCTAGCGTACGGTACGTGGCCGAGCTCTCAATCCATTTTTTTTATCAAACAGTTGGTGATCTTCCTAGAGATTGATTTTTTGAGGGAAAATGGTGTTATAAATGTTATATTGAATACAAGTGAAGTCATGAAGCCTTACGCCACGAAGCCTTACGCCACGAAGCACCGGTGTTTGAACAATGTAGTGAAGACCTTTGTGGACGTAGCATTGCATGTTGACAACTTTCGCAAGTTACGCCAGCGTTATGATACAACCGTCCTCCCCGAGGTTGTTGATCCACGTCATTACAACTTTACTGTACTTAGTTTTACTCTTGTCAAAAGCGTTTACAGGCTATTTAAGGAGCTGTCTGCTGGTGAGCTGCTATCACAGACGGGATAGTGAGGCCAATCTTAAGTCTTCTGATAAGTCTTATCTACAAACTGTATTTAAAGCATTACCGGGTAATTTGCGTTTTCTCGAAGTATTTTTAATAAGATAGTACAGTATCTGGAAAAATTGTATCATAAACCAATATGTGTAAGATATGATTGTGTATCCATGTGACCGAAGAACACTGTTGTAAGTATGCATATGACCAAACACTAATTAGTATACATGTGACCGAACACCGATTCAAAATATAGAGGGTTATATATTCGACTTGAGACCCCGTAAAACCCTAAAATTAGAGGTCGTGAGAAACGTGTTTAGGCGCAACTATTAGATCTAGATACAAACTTACCAGTGAATAATAATTGATCCAAAAGAAATGACGATGGTGATGAAGAGTTTGTGAGCAACATGTGTACAAGAATCTGACACTGGTAAAAGCTATGTCTTGCCATAATGAGGAAAGAAAATTAGAGTTCTTGCCTTCGTTTGTCAGTTTTTTAATCTTTTTTATTTTTTTGGTGGTTGGAAATACTTGATAAACTCTAACCTGAGCGGTGGGATTAATATGTGATATAATATGCCGTGTGTGTGACCTAGTAACCTTAACGTCCCATCAATATTTGAGTGGTATATCGACTAACCTTGTCCGCTTACTCTGTGTTCCCGACTTGGTTGTGCTGTACGGTCTCCTTCTGCTGCCTCCACGTCCTGTTTTATTGGTGAATTAAGCTGGGGGGGGGGGGGACTAATCCTCAAAGTGATCCATATTAATCTAGCGTGCTTAATCTGTATTAGTGTAGTGATTGAGGTAAAAAAAAGTGGCGTGACTCAACGTTGGGTGGTTTCACAGTAAATATATTTTTTTGTGGGTGTTTTTAAGTCTGTGAGTTATTGTACCTGAGGGTGTGGTGTAGTGTGCGGTTTGTTTATCACGCTGGTCACCCTACTCGCTCCCTCCTCCCTCCCTCAGGCTTCCCATGTTCCCCCGAAGTTGCGTTGTCGAGTATCAAGAAGAGTCCTGTGTCATTCCTCTTCACTGTGGTGCTTCTCCCAGTCTCCTACACACTGCCGTTCAAACAAGACAGACAGGTTCCATTTGTTAGTGGCGAGGTATTTCCGTGGTACCTGAGAGACCGCGTTGAGGGACATAGTTGTAAAAAAAAAAGCACGTTGGGTAGAGTAAGACCAAGGTTATAAAGGGTGAGGAGGAGGGCCAGGCAACAGTAGACCCCGACGCTGCTGTTTAGTTCTGTTAGCTACAATTATCTATCCTGTTCATCCTTCTTGGTCACCTGTCGGAGTAATAAACGTAAAGGGGAACTCATTAATGTTATTTCAAGCTCCTGACTAACACACAACGTAATCCAACGACAAAAGAGAGCTAAAATTTGAAGTGAAATTATCCAAATATATTTAGGGATAAAATCTTATATACAGCATTTTTTAACCTTTGACATGGGAATTCTTTATAAAAGTTATGAGATTTTGGTTAAAAAAATGTCACTGTTCATGCATCGGGTAGTCAACCATGGTGTTACTGCCTGTGTGTGTGTTCTCCCCCAGCTAGTGTCTGTAACAGCGGATGCGTTGTAGTAACAATCTGGTGAAGATGACCGACGTGAAGGGAGGAACTGGTGTAAAGCTTTGGCCTGTGGGGCTTCCTCTCTACGGAGCTGGGTTATGGCTACTGAGTTGTTCCAATTATGAAGGCCACGGTGACGACTGCTGCTCCCTCACCCCCGCAGGCAGTATATTATCCATGACAGTTCTTTGACTCACGTATTACAGGTGGACGTTTTACATTGTCTGGTTTACAAGGGGCCGATTTGTTGTTATTTTTCTAGTCGTTGTAAGAAACTCGTAGCGATATAGGTTATATGCTTTTAAAGGGACGAAGGGCATGTGATAGGTCAGGCGGAGGGTGTTGGGATGATGTATAATGAGACGAGTAAGGGATAAGATGACTAACACTGGTGGCGAATTGGCGAGGGGATGTGGGTGACCGGCGTGTACGTGTGTGTGTTGGGTGAGGAGAAGTGGGTAGGGTGTTACCGTGACAAGATGTATTGATCATCACTGCCCCACATCTTTTCACAAGTCAATATTTGTTGTTAGAGTCACGCTTCTACGCAGCGACTCGCCGGCGCCCCGTCCCTCACTGAACCCCGCATGGTACACCAATAAATAATTTAGTGTGTGTGCGTGCGCGCACAAGAGAGAAAAGGCGTTGATAAACTGTGTATCAAAGGTGAAGTAGGTATGACATTGAAAGGACAGGTCGCAGTCATTACACTTATACGTTAACTGAAAAAAAAGACACTGTTGATGTATGACAAAGGGCAGGGATGTAGGCAGACAAAATACTATTGACTCTTCAGCTTGGTGTAGAGAAAACGCCACAAAGTGTAACCACTCTTAGGGTCCAATCCCGTCCCTGTTACTTCACCATCCTCCCTCTCCCCCACCTCCCATCTTGGTTACCCATTACTGTACAGGAGATGACCCAAACCTGTAAGTCACACACAAATTTCCCTGTTATCAGTGTACCGATACCGTAAAAATTGTGTAACAAAATATAATATTTTGATAAGTAGCGATGAGGTTGCGAAATGTTTTATTGCCTGGAAGGTGATTTTGTAAACTGACAGTCTCTCGAGAACTAGACAGAGGCAAATCTTTATTTTGTGTCTTGAAATTTCGATTAAGGGGAGTTGTTTATACCTGGTGCCCCTGCTGCAGCTTTCACGCTGGAGTAAATCCCTCTAGTACTGTGCCGGTACTTAGGACATATTAGTCGTTTTAGTCTACTACTGCTTTCATGTATCGTAACATCTGTCACTATTTTTATGTCTGCCGCTATTTAATGGAGAAGTACTGTTAGTATAAACATAAGTGAGTGTCGAGGAAGCCCACACAAGACACTCTGACCCACCTTCCTCCAACCACTGGTCACCTGTTGGCTTCTCTTGACTGGTAATTACTCTTGGCCTCTTTGCTGAATTTAGATAATATGTATATTTTTGTATAATATAAAACCTTATCCACGCGTGTCTGAATCGCTGGAATAAGAGTTGGGGGAGATAGTGAGGCAGCGTGGTGGGAATCTATTGGAGAGTGTGCGTATAGTTAGGTCTGGAGATAAGGGTGGGCTCAGGTGTGCCATCAGTCTTGTGGTTGTGTCACTCAGCGTCCAGCTGTCACCGTCGCCTCACACGTCTGCTGTTCTGTTCTGCTCGCGTACTTCACATCTGTTTCCATTGCCTCATCATAGAGTACTTTATCACCTGTCTCACCGCTACCGCCACACATCTGGCGTTGCTACACGCCCATGTTGGCCGCTTGTAATAACAGTGTTCTGCCGATTTTGGTAAAGGTTAAATGAACTTCAACTTGGCCTAATTTCATCTTGCTTGTGTTAGATAACTTGAGCCTAGTGACTTTTCGAGTGTAAAATTTCTTGCAATAGTTGTTGGCCACTTGTATGTATGGTAGTAGACACGGAGGCATTTACATTTTGAAAACTGTTCATCATCCATATGGTCACTTGTGTTTACCCTTGTTGGAACCAAGGCGTATCTTAATTACATGAAAAACCTGTCAAGAGTTGATGCTAGAAGGTTCAGAAAACCGAGAGGACCAGGTGAAGTACAGTGCTTGTAATAAAATATATTTTAGTGTGATAACTTGGTGGTGGGGCGGGCATCTTGATAGCCATGTGGGCCCGCGACTACTACGACCTGCTCATCCAAGCTACGGTACGTCCTAAATGTTAGACGCAAGTATTTAGAACTTGGTAATAGGAGTACTGTACCGTATTTTTTTTTTTACAGTTGAATACTATATACAACACAACTAGCATTATTAGTAATTGCGTTTATTGTCTCTTAAAACAGTCGAGTGACTGGGACGCGGATGAGCTGCTTCGCTCCGTCCTCAATGGCAATGACATGTCAACGCCGAACCTCAACAACCCAACCCTGGGGTCTCTTGGTTCTTTGGACTCCACGGCCTCCACCCTGAGCACATCTCCGCTCACCACGCCCACGCTGGAGGCTCCCGACGACATGGACTCCTTGGAGAACCTGGTGGGTCTACCCTTCCACGCCGTCCTCGACTCAGGGGCGTCAGACTCCGGCATGTCCAGCGACTCTTCCCTCGACCAACAGGTAGGACCTCGTTGCGTCACCCCTCAACCCACCCAGTGGCATGGTTTTGAGTTTCCAGTTGTTGTGTGTAGTGACACATGTCATATTAATATGTTTAAGTGGCTGCATTGTGATGTAAATGATTGTTTTATACAAATTTTACCCGTGTGCATCTTTACGATAGATATGTTGTTTAGTAAACAACAGTGTCATTTACAGGTACTTACATTTCACATACACCAAATATAATAAACTTAACATTTTGCTTAATATAGAAGAAAAAAAGTGAATATAGTATGTTAAGCGTTAAGCCATTTACATAATTGAGTGGTGTTCTCCCCATGGTCAGTTGTCGCCGCTGTCCGGGTACTCTGTGTCTTCACCAAGTTCTCTTGGCGAGATGCGTTTGGGTGTAAGGTTGTCCTCACCTGACCCTGCACAGGATGCCACTTCTGATGTTTCATCCACCAGTGACCTGGGATCACTGGGCTCCCTGGGCTCCACTTCCCCCCACGGCAGCACAGTCGTGGCATCCCCATACAGCCCGGAGACCATCTTAGGCATCGACGACTTTATCCACACCGATTCAGGTTAGCTGTTACTCTCACACTGTTTGTGATCTTCCTTCATTACGTAGGAGAAATATTATTTTCCCAAGTCGGTCCCAAGTTCAGTTTCAGGCATTTTTACCCGAACTTTTGTTGGTATATAAAATACTTGGTGTCTGCTCGGAGATAATTTTTGTGTCTGGTTTAATATATACCGATTAAGTTCCTTTTCCCAGAATTTATTTATTTGTTCTCCCCTAATTCGATATCCAAATCACCTCAGTACATTACAATAAGATAATTTCGTTTTAAGGGAGTGATAGTGAACCCATTCTTTGGGCTTTATTCTTCCTTTATTATGAAGATATTTTCTGTACAATTAATAACTAAAATTTCTGGGTACACAAGACCATGATTGAACGCGATAAGTGGGAGAAGGAATGATGTAGGTAGAGAGCTTGTTTTAATGAGATTTAGGGCCCCCATCCTGATCCTGGGCCACCTCTTGGTATGACTGGGAACATCCTGACGCCTGCCCCTCCCACCGTATTCCACACCCCTCCCCTACTCTCCTCCTCTGTCCCTGTGATGTGGTCTACCATCTTACTCTTGCGTGTATATAAGTCGCCCAAGAATTAATATTTATTGACGTGTACAGTATATATATTTTATAAGACAATGGAAGTGTTTTTATACCCGTGGCATAATTGTAAGTTGGTGGTGTGTGGCAGTCGTGGAGGTGCGGGGAGTATGATGACGCCACCAGATCCCAGGGAAACCCACACGCCCCCTCTAACATGCCTCAAGTACACAACAAAGACGCCACGCTCCTGCATCAACTCGTGGTTAATCTGGCAGTTGTGTCTATTATTAGTCTTTGAAGATCACTTGGTATTCTTGTCTTTCCTTCCATGACGAAAGATACACGAAAGAACAGGGGACAGGGGTGTTGTCGTATGCATCCCAGGCTAAGAGGAATAATTTTCCCTGGCGTGGGAGGTTGAGTCCGCGGCCCCCATTCCTCACACAGTACACCATGAACCTAGATCTCTCCATACTGGTCCTGGGAGATGAATTTAGGTTGATAAATAATGGCTATTGGGTATATAGTATGTTCTTAGTTGGCATTAGTTAACATAGGCTACATATTATTGCCTGTTTTAAGGGATGCTGACGTGTGTGTGTGTGATATAAGAGCTTTCTTTGGTTTGTTTGAGAGTGATGCAGGATGTTGGTGATTTGTGTATTTGTGGCGAGTTATACTTGTAGGTAGGTGTGTGTGTGGTTGCTTTGGGGGATGCTGGTGATATTGTATCCGTGTTGAGGAATGGATTATTATTAGGCATTTCGAAACATTATTGTGACGTGTGTGTAAAAGGAAATGGTAATTTGAGGGATACTAATGAAGTGTTAAGTTAGCGTGTGTTTGGTGGAGGATGTTCCTACTATGGTACAGTAGTTTGTTGTGGCTATGGGAGTGTTGCCAACTGTTCAATGTTAAAAGATAAGCAGGCGGCGCCGAATTGTGTGTAAGTGTGCGGTATACAAGAGGTGGCGGCGTGTGGATCCCCTCTTACCAGCTGACAATGGGATGGTCTTGATTATCCCCATCAGTGACTGTTCGATGGGGGGGGGGTCGCCAGTGGTTTTCTGAATAATATTGATATTCTCTAATTTGGTGGCAGGTCTTCGATAACTTTGTACTAAAAGTTTCAAGTTTTCAGAAATATATATTGTTCTACTCTTAAGATTTCATTTTAAATTTGGCTTTTAATTTCGTAATAAAAAAAAATCAATTTCAGAGCAAGTTCACTGAAACAGCATAATATGTAGTTGTAGAAGTTGTCACAGGCATCTAGGTCTTAGTTATTGAAAAAGCTGTTGGGGGTACCAGTGTTTCCGGGAAAATGTCAGAACAGGTTTATGGGCAATGTGCTCCACGTGTTCAATGAATCTCCGTTTTGTGTCAAGATTAGTTTTAAATACTCGTTTGCTTAAGTGATATTTAATCTAAACCTCATTTATTTTAACTTTTTTAAAATGTATGAATGTCAATAGTATAAGCTACATGTTTATTAGGTTAACTTTCAACGATAACATTTTTTTCTTCATCAAACTGGAAAATACATAAAGTAAGATGCGAGAGTATAAAAACTTACGAGTGTAAATAACGCACACAAAACACATCCACCCTTGAACACACTAGTTATATATATACTGTACACAATAACTGAAAATGATGTACTGATAACTAATATTCTTTACGGTGAACCTATGGGGTGACAAAATTCATAATCTAATACTAATACTGCGGTTGAGACCAAATACGTTATATTGCAATAAAACAGTAAAGCCGTAGAAGTTGTGGGTGCTGACTCCACTGACTGGCTAGACTTGTAAGAGTTGCCTCACACTCAAGGACTCCGGCCAACACAGTTACCACCATGTGCAAAATAGGAATTTAAAATCGAGGTACTTGCCTAATTACTAGCGTTTCCATTTTATTAAGAAATTTCAAGAAGAAAGGATGGGAAAAAATTTAAGTATTATAATAACAACGATAATATTGCTGGTAATTGGAGATAACCATGATTTTTATCGATTTACACTGTTTAACGCTGACGAAAAAGTTCACAAGCGTTTGAAGGTCCAACATTGAAACTTTTCGACCAGATGTCATCCTCGCTCCTTCATTCTCTGGATAGATCACTTTTAGTAACTAATTTCTCATAGAAGAATCAAAACAATTCGACTATATACTTCGTGATTATATGAGGGTTTATATAACTTAAAATACTGCATCGCTTTGTTTCGTTGGGCGGGAATGTCCGGGGCTTTGTAAGATTAATGTTAAAACAAACCGAGAACAGTATTTTTATTAATGGGTACTCGAGCTTATAAAGGTATTGTGTGATGTAAGAAGTTTTAAATCACCTTAAACAAGAGCGTTGGTCATCTTGGCACTGGCATCAGACAAACATTCCAAGTGGCTTTTACCTAATTTCATGTCTAAGGTTCATGGTCTCACAGAAACAGCGCTCACACACTCATGCAGGCTATTTTAGGTATTATTATCGTTTTGGTCATCCGGGAATCATAGGAAATTAGGTTAGGTTAGATATAGTTCCTGGGTTCTGCGGTTATGTTAGGTCAGATCCAAATAATTCAAAACACAAAAAACCGTCGGAAAAACAATTTGGATATCTAAATACAGGGCTGACCGAAACTAAAATTTTACTCTTTTATTGTTATGATATATAATATGACTTGTGAGTAAATAGTAACTGACGGTTACATTATGTCTTTACAGGGTTCTCGTCGCCGGTGCCACAAACTGTGCCTGACTCGAAGTCTCCGGCGACGGTCACTGTGACGGCACCTGCGGTCACCACCACACCCACTTTTATTACCAGACCCACCCTCAATGCTAAGGTGACCTCGGTGTCCGTGCCCGTCACCGTACCTGTGTCCGTGACTGCCGCCTTGCCTTTGTCAACTCCTGTGACACAGGTGGGAAGCGTGAGTCCCCCGGTGCTGAAGACGGTGACGGTGGCTGCACCGGCCAGCACGGTGAGCACAGTAGGAGGCCAAACCATTGTGGTGACCCAGGCTAGCAAGGGTACTCACAATGCCCACCTGGTGCGAGGTGGCACACTACTTAAGTCAAATCAGGCGTCCCGCTCCATCCTTCTTCCCGTCACAGTCAAGGACCTCAACCAGGTAGGTTGAGGTGCTAACGTATTTGTTTTGTAGTTATCAGATAAGGGACAGAGTGTACTGGAGCTCCTATAACAGTCGTAGAAGTAAGTTTAGTTCTATATTATTCAGGTGCGGACCATCAAAATCATCAGCACGGGCGGTAACGGAAGCATGGGCAGTCGTGGCGTGCGAACAGTTGTATCCACAGTGCGGACTCCCAGCACCACCACCACCCTAAGCAACCAGTCCATCCGCACTGCTCTCCTGGGCGCCGTTAGGGGACAGGAGTCCAAGTCTCTGCTCAAGGGTGGAGCTACCACTGTCTTGAGCACTGCACGCCCCACTACCACTATCTCCTCCACTCATACCTCCCCCACAAGGGTCAAGGTGGAACCGCATGATGACGACGACGATGACGACGATGACGACGATGATCAACCACACACGGCATTTCAACAGCTGACACTCTCTGGTAAGTACCCACCTACTCGCCTAGTACCTTAACATGCTAACAGGTATTTACAACGAAACTTGTGTTATCCAACACGATGGTAAAAGTCTCTGGTGTGAGAGGATGTAGGGGAGGGATTGGGCTAGGCCAGGTGAGTGGTGGGACTGGTCGAGTGAGGTCCAGGCGACACCCTCAAGCGGGTTGGCTTGATCGAGGTCACTCCCATCCATACAACCTACTCCCCATCACTATACTTCTGTATCCGTTTAATTAGCCACTTCATTTACATAAACAGGGAAGTTCAGTGTTTACTTTCATTATTAAAGCTAATATGAGGGAATCTTTTTAAACAACTTAACGTTATGATTCAAACTTTGCATGGATTAATAGTCATACATTTAAATGTTTAGTTTCAGAACTTTGACGTAAAGAACCTGTTTTCTGTAGGTAACCAAATATGATCCTGTTGAAAAGGTTGAAAGAAAAACAAAGAGGGGGAAGGGGAAATTGTTTGTCACCTGTGGGTTGCATATCACTGACCACAGGTTTGTTGTATTCATGTCTAGTCATAAAAAAGTATTGCAGGAGTTTTCTTAATCAAATGGCTTCCTGATCTGGGTTTATTTTGCCCTCACGGTGTTTTGGCACCTTTGTTCTGATAATTATCTTCTTCAAAATACCTGGTGTGTCGGCTCATGTTTTGTGGTTGTATTTCCTTGGTAAGTTTTTGCAAGGTTTTGGCAGTTCTTTAATGTGTAAAAATGATAATGTTGGAGGTTTGTTTATTATCTAGAATGAAGCACTGCCTGTATTGTTGCCACGTCGAAATTAATAAATCTGTGAAATACTGAATAAAATTTCCTTGGGGAGGTAACTGCGTGGGGGTGTCAGTGGTGGTGGAAGGCAGAGTGGCGGGAAGGCAAACACGAGTCGACCAGTGCTGAAGGTCTTTGTACTTTGGAGAAGCTGCTGCCTTCTCTTCCGGGGTAGGACAGACACACAAACATCATCCTCCTCCTCCTACTGCTGTGTGTGTGTGTGTGTGTGTGTGTGTGTGTATATATGTATGTATGTGTGTGTGTGTATATGTATGTATGTGTGTGTGTGTGTGTTATCTGTTTCCTCTTCTTGTAATAGCTCCAGTTTTCTGTGGTTCTAACTTATTTCCACCATCTCTCTCTCTCTCTCTGTGTTTTACGAGATTTTTTTGTTTTCGAACGTATATTTCCCTCATTTTTTAATCTGAAATGACATCCAGTGTCTTGCCTACATTCTCCTTGTATTACTTACCTGTGTATTGGCGCATGTTCCTCTCTTCCTTTGATTTTACCCTCCCTCGTATCCCGGTTCGTCCTCAGAAAGGTAAAGTAACTTGAGAGCATTTCATAACAGGCAAATATTCTCGTATGTCTACCGAGTGAGTGAGTGAGCGAGTAACAAGAGAAAGTAAGTGAATGTGTAAATTAGAAAGTGAGTGTGAGTAAGGGAGATCGAGAGTGACCTATTAGTACTATATAATGTGAGTATTGCTCTCCCCCCCTTACCCGTTATCATATTATCTTATCTACCCCCAGTGGCTCAATCTTCCCCCTCCCTCCCTCCTCCCTCCCTCAGCCTGGGCGAGATACTCCTGCCCATTAAATACAAAATGATGTGTAATTATCGTTGAAGGTAATTAATAGCTGACGGGATCCCGAATTTCCTGTTATTAATTGCAATGGTTCATGTGAATATTAGGCACTCCAGCTTATTTCATCTGATGTTTGTTGTAGTTGGGCGTGGTTGCTTGGTTGACTATTTAGGTGTGGTGTATCAGGAAGAAGTAGGTTAAGTGTTGACGGTGGTACGTGGTAAGTGTGAATTATATTTTCGTGGCCATACACTCGATAGCTGTGGTGTTAGTTCTGAAGAAGCTTTGGTAAACTCGCCCTATATGTGACTAATTATATATCAACAAGTAAGCCAGATGTTGCTGCTTCGGATCCGTAGACTAGTGATTGGTGGGGGTAGAACCACCCGGAAATAAGTAGTTTTCCTCATTTTCAAAAGTTGTGTTGAACAGAAACTTTCAACTTATTAAACGGTGCCTAAAGACCTTGGCTATTGAACTATCTTAGTACAACACATACGTTTAACAGTACTAACACATACAACGTCTGATATAGAAATTCACGGGAGAGATTAATTAATAACATTGCATAGAAATAGTGTTCCAATAATAGGCTAAGGTTCTCCGTATTTATTTCTAATGCAGGACGACAATGTAATTTAGAAAGTACTTTTACATAAGTTGAAAATGGTGTTAGAATTCGGGGGGAGAGTTAGAAGCTGTTGAAACTGGAGGAGGTAGGTAAGGCTTTAGATATTCCATTGCGTCATGGAGGATGTGTCGAAGGAGACAGCAGGAGTAGGTATGTCGGTGAGGGTTTCAACTGGTTGGTTAACGTGGTGGTGGTGAGGCCCCGTCTGGGCGGACAACGGTACCTAGTAGTGGGCCTCGCTGCTACACCAGGCATCCATCCTCACACCGCTTTACCGTTATTGGTGATCAGTAAAGGATGTTAAGTCTCGTGTGAGCGAATATTGAGTCTCGCGGAACAAGTGGTGAGGCTTTTGGACGTCAAGGAGTTGCAGGATGATGGCTGGTATAAGTGAGAGGGTGGGCTGGGAACGAAGGTAATGCCTGTAGCTAGACGCCGGAAGGGCTAGACTTACCTGCGCCAGTAGGAGGTCAGTGTCCGCTGAGAGAGAACAAACGGTCGTATTGCAATGACATGCCACTTCATTTTTTTGTATTCATGAACTTACTATTTTTCTAATTTATTTCATATATCCGCATATGTATGCTGAGTGTGTCATGACCTCTGTAAAGCTTGGTGGCAGGGGTGGTTGTAGGACTGTAGTGTAGGTATTAGTGAATGACCTATGCACCTTTTATTTTTTATCATACTTGACGTGATATTATTATCAGGGTGCAGGAAGTGGCCCAGGGTCGTGGGTGTTTTGCGTGGTTTATCTGTTTGTACTGCACGCTTCTCCTCAATGACCACTTATTTTTTGTCATATACTGCATGAGCTAGCAAGTCGATCTTGTTCGTATGATTATGCTGTAGTTGACCACTCAGCAGAAGAATCATCCGTCGATATTGTCGAGCTGACTACAACCATTTTAGTTCATTAGATTGTAGCTGTACAGTATAACTCAGCTCAGCCATGGCAGTGTGTGTGTTGTTAACTGTAGTGCAGTGTTCCAGCTAGCGTAGTAGTCATGTGGCGCTTCGGCCTCAACAGGTGTTTCGTCAACACCGTTAGGACACTCCCCTCTCCCCCGTGTTTGGGATTCATATCCATAATTATCGTACATATATATAAAGAACAACGACGTTCCTCGCCACCAATTTAAAGGGAGTTGTGAGTCTACTGAATATATTTCTCCGTCACGAGTAGCCAACGCTATGAATATTCTATAAACAAATTAATTCCTGGTATCGTTTGGCCGCTGAGTGTAGGTGATGGCCGGCAAACGTACGCAGTGGCCAGTGGGCATAGAAGATGCCACTTGATCGTGCTTAGGTTACATTGGACACGTGTGTGCCTTTTGGCTCTGATTGTGCGTTAGTGTGTGTAGTAATCAATCAGTGTGAGAAATGCCCAATGACATCGAGGACTGGAGAAAGTGAATATGGTCGCTCGCAGCACCTTGCTCACCTGGTCATTTGTTGTGTCATTCCTGTGGTAGGAGAGTAATAGGATGGGGTGGTGGACGCGCGGGGTTAACGGCCTCATGTGACGCTAACCAAAGGGTGGGCGGGAGGGTCCCTGAACGTGGAGATGAGTGAATGTCTTGCCGTACGCGACCTAGAGTGGGTTGGTACTTTTAAATATCGGTAGGTTTTGAATTCCTTATTATTTCGGACCCTTGTGTCTCAGATTGCATTGTAATATAACTTAACCCCGTACAGTGCTAATGGACTTTGCAGAGAAAACAATGAGGGGAAGGAACATGTGTTTATGGAATTAGTTTGAATGTAATCGCTAGATTAGTGTTATGCGAGTCATGTGGGGTATAGCAGCAGCACGTTCTTCCCGTTATACCAAACGTGTCGGACTTGCTATTGTTACACCGGTGTTTACTCGGCATACTAATGAACATAGACTCTAACTAGCTAATAATAATAAAATTTCACATGGCATGTCGGTTTGATCGGTCATGCAGTATTAAGATAGGTGGAGAGGGAGCGGCATGGTGAACAAGGGTGAGTGTCTGTTGGATAAGGGAATTGATGTATCAAGGGTAGTGCTTCTGTACTGGCCCTGTGCCGGTGATGCTAGGCTTTGGATACCCTCCCCTGAGCTCGCCACGCCTGACTCACAACGTACGTAACAAAAGGTTACCTTTGTTGGCCGACTTTCTCTGGGAGGTGACATTTACAAGGTCGCCGCTCCTCATCTGGAGTATATCTCACTTTGTTTTACCTGAACACTTCTTGTCCATTTTAAATGTTAGTATATAATAATTGACAGTACTACATCATGGAGAAGATGTGCAGATTAATTTGAGTAACTAGTCTCAAAGAAGCTTTCTATCTTTTTCTTTTCTTTTTGCGTAATTATTGTTAGACGCTCATTGACAACTGTCGTATTGTGGTCTGGGCTTGTCGACAATGTTTATGCGGGTAAATCCAATTTAAAGTTTTCCTTGTTCAGAGTACAACATTTGGTGGCAAGTTACTTGTTTAGAGGAAATCAATAAGTTTGTTTTTATTGTCGCAAAAGTCAACGAGTGATGTCCATATAACTAAGCTCAACCAATTGTGTAATATATCTATGCGATGAATGTTTCTTAGGCAGCGTCAGGGTGGTATGGGATGTGGCTTGCGTAGTGGGGCCCTGGGAGGGTGAGGAGGGCAGGTGTGGGGCGACCGACCTTGACCGGGGACCCACAGGCAGTCAGCCAGGGGACGTGCGTCACCGAGAAACCCTGCGTGTCACCACTATCCGTCCTTCCTGGGATTTACCAC